TAAAATATATTGGATATGTTGATATTGGCAGCAAGTTTCAACAAAATCAGTCAGTTGAAGCAAAATAAGCTATTGTGTTCTGCTTGTAAAGTTAATAAATATGTCTATTACGAATAGTTAGGTACCTACTATATTTTATATTATCTCTTGTTTTGATTACATTGATTAATAATTTTATTATAAAACATGTACATTTAATATTATTACTACTAGAAATAAATTATTGTTATTTGTTTTGGTTTTTCTTTTATTTACTCTATATAAAAAATATTTCAGTTTCTAAATGATCTACTTGAACTAAACGAAAATTATGTGTGATCACGAATTCATTTGAAAGCATACAGTTTCAAAACCTATATCTACAATAAAGAAAGTTTTCAATCCTAAACGAACATATAGTCATTTCCAGTAAAAAATGTTTACAATACAGTGTATAACGAAAGCTTAACATAAATAGAAAAGGAACATTGTTTAATAAATTTGTTTATTAATTATGCGAATCAATTATCTAAATTATTAGTTATTGTGAAATTACAGTGCATAAATGTTAAACATAAATACGAACCCTTTCAAACCGTACGCCATTGAGAATGGCGTACCTACCCTTCTCCCCTCACGCCAGAAGTGCCTCATAGAGCATATAAGACTAGAAATATCATTCAATGTATTTTGTTATCTATAAGCGGGGTCATCACTTCTGGCGTGAGGGGAGAAGGGTAGGTACGCCATTCTCAATGGCGTACGGTTTGAAAGGGTTCGTATTTATGTTTAACATTTATGCACTGTAATTTCACAATAACTAATAATTTAGATAATTGATTCGCATAATTAATAAACAAATTTATTAAACAATGTTCCTTTTCTATTTATGTTAAGCTTTCGTTATACACTGTATTGTAAACATTTTTTACTGGAAATGACTATATGTTCGTTTAGGATTGAAAACTTTCTTTATTGTAGATATAGGTTTTGAAACTGTATGCTTTCAAATGAATTCGTGATCACACATAATTTTCGTTTAGTTCAAGTAGATCATTTAGAAACTGAAATATTTTTTATATAGAGTAAATAAAAGAAAAACCAAAACAAATAACAATAATTTATTTCTAGTAGTAATAATATTAAATGTACATGTTTTATAATAAAATTATTAATCAATGTAATCAAAACAAGAGATAATATAAAATATAGTAGGTACCTAACTATTCGTAATAGACATATTTATTAATTTTACAAGCAGAACACAAACCTTCGTTTTTTTTTTTGTTCTCTTTCCCTTTTAGAATGGAGCTTACAGATATTGTGGTTTTAGGTGCTGAGTTTATCAAATTTTAAACAATTTTTTGTCTTTTAAAGAGAGTTAAAGATTGAAGTTCCCTGTCTTGCATATTTTCGTCCCTACAAATGAAATGTACATAAAATGTATTCTGAGGATTTTTAATGATATACATTTAATTCAATTTCAAAAGTTCCAAAGGCTATTATTACCAGCACCTGTTTGGCTTTTAAAAATATAAGAGCTAATCATACCTTTTCATTAGCCTTCTTTATTTTCTAACTTTAAAATTTTCAATGTTGGGAACTGCAGATAAGGGCATATTTTCTTTACGGTTGTTATTTTTATGCCTGTAAACAATAATGTAATAATAATATATGTCTAGTATTTAACAAAATAAGCCACATATATGAATATCGAATTACAAGCATTTACAGTTTATTTGGAAAAAACTCATTTCTATAGCAAAGTACAGGTACAGATTTTGGTATAGATCCTTTTATTAATCTATTGCTACCTTTAAAATAATGTTCAGTTGAAAATGGTCTGAATACAGACATGTGTTGTTAGAAATGCTATTAATGCTCAAACTAAATACTTGACAGTTTGGTTGTGAGATCAGCGGGAAATCTGAAATAAGTAAAAAAAGATTTAAAATATTAATGGCAGTTGAATAAATATATACAATACAAAAATATATCTAATCCATTTTACATTATATACAAAAAGCATAATCGCAAAGAAAACGACTATTTTCTGTCGAACGCAACCAGTTGCGGTCATGCTCAAATGAAGAAAATTTTACAAACATGTTTTCTTATTCATTTGCCTATTTCCCATTTTAAGTTACGTTTATGGAATATAGAATACTTGTGAAACGTCAACCAGGATCCTTTTTATGTATTATTGCAAACTATACAAGCTTTTGGCATAATTAGCACTTATTTTATAATAAAAGTATACTTAAAAAGTATATCAAAGGGAAACCTCGTCCAAATTGTCTTTGGAAGCCACAAAAAATGATATTTTTAAAAACGAAAACAAGATGTCAAATTAAATGTCATTTATTACAAATATGCGCATTATTTAAATTCGCCAATCATAAATCGTCGTGTTCCTAACTCGCCAATCATAATGCGTCGTGTACCTAACACCGAAGGGGTTACCCCCCTCAGTACATAACAAACCCATTTGAGTAACACCTCTACTATTATATGCTTTAAGGTGTTTCCGGTCTACCAGTGACGTACTGTCATAAAGGGGCGTAGAAAAGAAAATAATAAATTCTCATTTGCATATTATCTAAATAAATTTACCGATTTCTCTCATTTTAACAAATTGCTGTTTTCTTGCGAGAAGTTTGCATTTTTTTTAACCTTCATTATGTGAATAAATTTTACTTTAAAATTGCATGTTGGGTGGGATAAATGTAGGAAAATATTTTTGGGATAATTTATAGAGGGATTTCATTTGAAAAATGAAACCAATAATGTATTACGAAAAACATACTGGCTAACCGACCGCCGGCAGTGTTGCATTTGTTGAAAAGAAAACCGTCTTACGGTGGCATGGTCTTCTTCATACAGGAAAGCCGCCGCAAATCTAAACTGATTTGTTGATCAGGGCGGCATGCTATCAGTGAATTGAAAAATGCCGCCGGACGACGGTCTACTGTATTTAAAACATTGAATGCCGGTGGTAAGAAAAATTACTTGTAAAATCGTCTACATTTTTGTGGCACATGATCATATATCGTACGCGTTTTATTTTTACATCGGATCTCCTTTTAACAGAGTAGATGAGCTGTGTCCAGGCCGTTGGTGTTTATGCCGGTCGGCGTAGCCAGGTATGGATTGAAATTTTCGAAGCCACCACCCTACGAGAAGTCGTTACTTCGTCTTCTTGTTGTCACGGCATTATTATTATTATTATTATTTGTTCATTTAGTGTTTTTTCCGGCGGCATTTAATGTTTCAAATACAGTAGCCCGTCGTCCGGCGGCCTTATCAATACTCTGATAGCCTGGCGCCCTCATCAACAAATCAGTTTAGATTTTCGGCGGCTTCCTTATATGTGAGAAGACCATGCCGCCGGAAGGCGGTTTTTCTTTCAGTAAATTAAACTACCGCCGGCGGTCGGCTAGCCAATACGTAAAAAAAAAAATATTGACTTTTTTACGTCTTTATTATGACAATGTTTTTATTAATCTACATTTTACAAATTATTAAGGTTTGAAAAATAAATATGATTTGTAGATATGCGTTAAAAAAATGAAATATCCTATACTTATATTTAGGTCAAACACTGCTGCGATATTTCTTTCTTACATGTTTTTGTTGGAGTACATATAAAACTTTCTAATATCGAAGAGAATTTCTGATCATTTTATTACATAATATTATTAGTAATATTTTTTGCAGGACAATTTTGCCTAAGCAGGTAAAACACCTTTCCAAGAAAGAGTCCTATAACGTAATAATGATTATATGAGTGCAAAATAGATTATTTTTAAATGTACATTCAACGCATTATTTGTATGCTTAGTCCAGTTATGATGAGAGTCAATTTGTACTCTAAGGTATTTGATATCATTTGTAATATGTATATGAATATGAGTAGTATGTAAAGTGCCGCTTCTGTCCCAAGTTCGATCTCCAATCGAGCACCCACAATCCTAGCATATAAAAACAGAAATTGGAGAAGTTCTAGTGTCGAATCTAACCTACATCAGTTATTATAAATATTCAATCGAATAAAAAATATTTTTAAGTACAAAATGTAACGCGTGCTCCCATACTATTAATTATTCAATAAAAATCGTGACAAGTGTCTACATTGCTCACCGCAACAAAATCATTCCATTTATAATAATATCAAATTTATAACATAATGATAATCCAATACCTGATGCACTGAAGGTCAAGCGATAAGCGTATAATTGTTTTTCTTGATATGCATTTATAAACAACGATTATGTAGTATATATTGAAATAAAAACAATTGACTGCCGCTGGTGTAGTGGTTAGCGTTATTGCCTTTGGTTGGCATGGTCTGGGTTCAAATCCCAGCGGCGGCAGTCGGCTTTATTCTTAATTAGTGGACCTTGTAAATTTACAGTTGCCGAGTGGCCATTAGACAATTGTATAACAAGAAAATTAATTAGGAATTAATGTGCACAAAAGCCCATTCCCTGTTTTCAACTATTCTGTCTCATAAATTACTAGACATGGACCGCAAAGATATCTATCTATAAACGATACGCAACTATCATAAGCGGACTCTAGTATGTGAGAGGGATTTAGTTAAGAAAAAGGGAATGTTTAGCGGTTTTTTTTTTAATGACGTTGATTATATACATCATCTTGTAAATGATTATTAAATGTCCTCGTGGTCGAGCGGTCTAAGGCGCTGGCCGGTAATCGGCAGGTCGGTGGATCGATCCCCCGCGTAGTCAGATTTTTTTTTTTAATAAAAATTGGTTTAAAAATAGAAATAAAATTATTATAAAATGGCGTATAGTGGGTTGCTTTGATATATTACGTATATAGATGCAGAATGAGAGTTGACTGCATGACTGGTGACCAAACAATTAAAAAGCAATTAAAAATCGATTAGTAGATTGCTGTTAGATAAGAACTGAGTTAGGGCGTGGCATTTAATGACTGTGGTGTCCCAAACAATTATTTTTTTTTTTTTTTTAATTAATAGTATGGGAACTAAGAAACTAATTTCTAATTTCTGCTAAAAAATCGTCATTAATATACTGATATAATTCAACATTGTCTTCATGTAAATAACCTTTATGATTCTTCATGAAATCTCGTGACAATTTCTGGTATTTACAAATATATTCCCAATCTAAGTTTTCCTTAAACTCATCAATAAATTTTTCACTCAAAACTTGATATTTAGAAACAACACTCCAATTAACTCGATTTAAATAAGTTCTCATAAAATCTAGACTGAGTTTTTGGTAACGACAAATTAAATCCCAATTTACTTCTTGTTGGAAGAAAATTATAAACTCCTCAGTTATAACAGGAGATATAGAGATCTGATTCCATACGTTTTGACAACTCATTTATAAAGAAAAAAATTTAATAAACTATTTTAACTCTAAGATTACAGTAATATCAGCTTCATTAAAATCAATTAATTCAATGTTTTCATCACATATTCTGAGTTCTATTTTGTAAATATTATTATACTGAATTGGATAATATACAGGGGTAGGTTCATAAATTATCAAATTGTTAAAATTAGAATTCAGTTTAAAACAAGAGATAATGTCGGTTTCTCTATGAATAAATTTACCACCTTCTACTAACATTCCATTAGCCAAATTACAGTGAGTATTGATTGTTTCAACAGGAATAAACTTCTTCGAACTATTTAATAAATGTGATAAACTATCAGAAAATTCCATTATATCATAAGGAGAATTAATTTCTATTTTATTCCCATTTTGAATCAAATCAAATCCGTATTTATTTAAATATGTTCTAAGTGATGTATAATTATATTGTCCTTCTGGAATAGCTAAATAAGTTCCATTATAATAAATTTTATTATTTTTATTTGTAACATTATTTATCAGATTCGTTGAATAGAAACCCAATAGACCAACTTTGAGACCATTTGTTGGAAAATGTGTCTCAAAATGATAAGTCAGTACAGACTTGTTACTTTTTAATTTTAGTATCATTTAATATAAAAATTTTATTTATAAATGGATGTTTATGGATATTCAGTTGGTTCGAACTCTAACATAGATCTTTCAAATATTAAGTTGGAAATAGATCAATTAAAACAACATGGTTTACCTTTAACTGAAATAAATAATGTTAAAACTCAAATTAACAGTTTAAGCGATCAGATTAATATAGTAAAGAAAAAACAAAATCGAAGATTAAGTAAAAATCCAAATATTGTTTCTAAAAATCAAGAACTTGAAGACCTCAAACAAGAGATTGAAAAACTAAAACTAAAAGGAGCATCTCAAGATGACATCAACAAAAAAATTGAAGAGATCAAATTAAAAACAGAAGATTTGAATAAATTAAACCGAGAATTAGAAGAAGCTATCATTGAAATAACTATTGATGATTTAAAAGAACTAACAAATAGAATAATTAATCTAGAAAACAATCAAACTACCTTCATTAATAAAATACGAAATTTAGAAAGGCTTAATAAGAATAGTCTGAAAAAATTAACACAATTAGATATTGTTAAACTCAATACACAAATTAAAGAACTAAAAAAAATCTGGGGCTCCCAATAATCAAATAAATAAGAAAATTAAAGAATTGGAACAATTAAACACATATTTAAAGAATATAGTAACAGATATTACAGATAATGATTTAACAGAATTAGACGAACACATTGAGGTAAATATGAAAGATGTCAAAAACAAATTAAGTGGACTTAACATAACACCAACATATATTTCTGTGAGGGGTAGAATTGTAAAAGCTCTTGATGCAGTAGACGATTATGATTTAGTAACGAAAAGACAACTAGCTGAATTAGAAAGAAGATTAAAAAATACAACATATTAAATATAATTGTATCCATTAATTTCAGCTTGCTTTAAATATTTTTCTCTGGGAAAGAACTGAATATTCTCAATAAATTCTTTTTCTCTTAAATATATTTCTTGATTGTTTAATTTCTGAGCTTTATTAAGATCTAACATTTGTTTATAAAATTTATATTCAGTTAATCTCTCATTTTGTCTAACAGATCGTTCAAATATCTCTGTTATACCAGAGAACAAAGAAATAAAACATAAAGGTAAATAAAAATAACCACTAACCCCAGATACACTAAAAAATAATTTTAAAACCAATAATAAAATACTAATTTGCGAGTAATAATTAAAACTTTTTCTATAAACATATAAACGTTTTTCCAAATATTCTTCCATTTAATTAACGAAGAATAATAATGAAACGCAATCTGTAATGAAAAATATTTTCAGTGTTAAATTATGTGAGGAAAAAAAATTTTACATCTCGTTTAGAAGTGTAAAAACGTGCGGTGCATAGAAATATAGTAATACTTTTATAGAAAATTGTGACGTCAGTATTGATTCAAGTAGATTAATCTAGAAATTTAGTATATTTATGTGTTTTTTATTGATGGATATTTATATTATCTATAGTCCAGTCAATAATATATTTAAAAAAAATATTTTTAATAAATGAATAAATTTAAAATTACACCATTTAAAGAAAATGTACCGAATCAGTCAAATTTATTTCCAACACCTCTAAGATGTTTGATTATTGGTAAATCAGGTTCTGGTAAAACAACAATTTTATGGAATGTTATAACCAAGTATTGGATCCCTTATGAAAGTTTATTAATTTTTACCAAGTCAATTGATCAATCAATTTATCAAGAATTGCAAGAGATATTTGCTGGAATAGATAACATTGAATCACATTTCTACGATAACTGTGATGATATAATTAATGTAGATGAATGTAAACCAAATAGTCTAGTTATTTTTGACGATTGCATTTTAGAAAAACAACAAACAATCAAGGATTATTTTGTTAGATCTAGACCAAAAAATATTTCTTGTATTTATTTAACTCAGTGTTATAGCATGGTCAATTTACAAATAATTAGAACAAATTCCAATTTTCTAATTATTTTTAAACAATCTCAATATTACGTCAAAAAGATATGGGAAGATTTTATAACAGAAATGACTCTTAATGACTTTTATACTTTTTGTAAACAAGGATGGGAATATGACTACGGGTTCGTTTGCATCAATTTGAAAAACAATAAATTTTACAACAAGTTTGAAAACGTTTCATAATGTAATCAACACGTTACGTTCTACGTTACGTTATGTCTCGTTACGTTAACGTTCTATGTTACGTTATGTCACGTTACGTTAACGTTCTATGTTACGTTATGTCACGTTACGTTAACGTTCTACGTTACGTTATGTCTTGTTAAATTTTTATGTTACTAAATATATATTTTTTTTTATAATAAATGGAAACAAAAAATATTCAGAGACGTTTAATAAAGAGAATTGAGAAAATAAAAAAAACCAGAGAAAAATTAAAAAGTGAATTAAAACATAATGATCAGAAGAAACCAAATCATTCTGAAATCTTTCAAAATAAAGAAGATGTAATCAAAATTCCTGAAACTCCTAAAAGTATCACAGTTGAACAAGCTAAACAAGCACAAAATATACAAAAAGGTTTGAATAAAACATTTAAAAAAGAAATTCTAAATGATCGGAGTGGGTTAGAGGAAAAACAAAAACAATTCCTTCCTATTACTACTGCATTACAAAAAGTTGAACAAGCTGTTAATAACACAGATACTGATATAAAAAAAATAATTCCAAATATTCCAGCTTTAACTTTACCAGAAATTAAAGAATCTAAAGATATGGAGACTCAAACACATGCTATGATAAGTCTAGGTCCAATTTCCTCACATTATTTAAAGATGGTACCTACAAAAAGAGATATAAAAAATATTTCAGATCGGTATGGTATTTACAACGATGCAACTAAAAATGCATATATGATTGGGAATATAGAAGTGTTCTTCAAAGATAATGATATCATTGTAGGTGAGACAAAGTATACTGGTACAACAGGTTTGTGGGAATTACTAACATCTGCCGACGCCCCAAATCAAAAATTGTATACTAAAGACGACTACAATAACTATAAAAGAATTTTGTTTGATACTAATTGTTTATATCAAAATTATGACAAATCCACAGGAAAAGTTCGTTCAAATACAGGTAATAAATATCAAAACTTAATCAAATTTATATGGGTTGAATTAAAATCTAATTTACCAATAACACCTTTTAAAAATAGATCTTTATCTTGGGATTATACTGAGGATTTGGGTGAAACCCCTAAAACTAAAAGAGGCTCTGGAATAAAGGAATATACAGAAAATCAAATAGAATATAAATATATAGACAATCTCAATGAACTACTTAACAGATTATATTTTATTGCATCTGAAGAAAGAGCTGGCAATAATAATTTTCACAATGAAAAATTAGGAGTTGTGCATTTAATTGCTAGAGAAATGGAAAATATTATTGATACTCCTAAAGGTATTGAATATTTAATTTCTCATGTATCTAGTTTACCTAAGAAAATAATTAAAGGATCAGGATTATTAAATGATTTTATAAATAATTTACCATTTGAACTCCATTGGCCAGGTAAAAACTATCTAGGTCCTGGTACAAAATTGAATGAAAGGTTAGCAAGAGGTGATAAACCTGTTACTAAGTTAGATGAAGCAGCAATGGAGCATGACATATTTTACAGAGATCATAAAAATGTTAAGGAAAGACATCAAGCTGATGAGATTCTTGAAAATAAAGCTTGGGAACGAGTTTTAGATCCAAATTCTACGTTAAATGAAAAGATACCTGCTTGGGTAACAACGAATGCTATGAAATTTAAAAGATTTTTTGGAATGGGTTTAAAATAATTAAATATATACAATTTTTTATCTTATAAATGGAGTTGAATTTAAATGATAATCAATTAAAGAAAGTCTCTTCAGCATATAAAAAGAAAGTTGGAGTTACTATTCAATTAAAGAATGAACAAATTGGCAATGGAAATAATAAATTCATTTTAAATCACCGTCAAATTAATAAATTAAATAAGGCTAAAAATAATGGTACAGGAATTAGATTAGAACTTAAATATGATCAAATAAAATCAGGTGGTTTTTTATCGTTGCTATTAGCAGGTATTGGTGCTCTAGGATCATTAATCGGAGCAGGAAGTGCTATAGCTAATACCGTTATCAATAAGAAAGCTAAAGATAAAGAGTTAGAGGAACAGCAAAGACATAATAAAACTATAGAAGGAAAAGGTTTAAAAAAGAGGTTAAAAAAAAACAAAAAATAATACCGTTAAGCAATTATGATATATTATTATATTCAAAAAATATTAAAAATTTTCGAGGTTGTTTCATGAAAAATGAATTACCATTAGAACCAAATAAAAATGAATGTGGAATATTGAACTTAAATAATTCTAATCAAAATGGATCTCA